TTTCTAACACTTAAAAAGGTAGAATAATACAAATTTACATAGATGTTTTTGTTGACAACAAGACTGCGTAGCTTTTTATTGGTGCCGGTTGGACGTGAATATTCCAGAAGATACATTAAGCGATCTTTAGGCGCCAATGACAGTTCCAACATGAGAATCACTTGTGCCCACTGAAAATAAGGTTTGCAAAATTAAAGTTATTACCAAACATGTTTTAAAAATAAAAAGTGCGCATACCTGGCGTTTATACTCTTTCCTTGTACGAAATATAGTATCATAAGTTCTGGTCATCATAGCAATGAGAAGATTAAACTGTAGGATTGACACACCCAATTCAAAAATGAGAAAAACTACCTAAAGCGACTAATTCCTAAGGAAGGAAAAAAGGTAAACGAGAAAAAAATGCTTTTCAAAATTCCTAAAACCAACCTTCCCAATCCAGAGCATTATTTTAGCTGGGCACATTGCCAAGTTCCTATACAGAACTGTGAATTCGCCTATAGTCAAGATAAATGTGCGGATGAACGCTTCCACAGGATTTTGAATGACATTTTGAAAGCGGCCTGGATCTTTGCTTTTATCTGGTCCATTTTTCTCTATATCAGCACGTTCGCAAGTAAGGAATATCAGATAAAATGCTAAAAATTGCATTTGACTGAGATACCAACGAATTAAAAATTGATGAGTACCTTGTGAAAAACCCATAAGGAAAATCCCGTAAATCAGAAGAAAACGCCGAATATCTGTCGCTATGATAGTGTAAACCATCAGAACAAAAGGTCCAACGAATTTGATAGCTCTAAAGGGATTTTTTACTCGACTATCTTGAAAGAGGAGGTGGGCGAAGGAGAGGGTTGGGTTCTTCTGAGAAAAAATAAAAAACGATGATTAAAAAACTGTCAAACTTCATTGTTTGAAGAAAACACTCTCATCCAGGCATATTATAGATAAAGTTGAAACATTGAAATCAATAAAATCTGTAAGAAAAGGTTCTATGTTCCAGAATGATCGTGGTTCAACCTCGCCCACGTCACGCCCACTTTTCGCCAATTTCCCTATCGCAGCCCCTCTATATTTCTGTATACCACTATCTCAAACTGATAATACTGCTTACCTGCAATAGTACAGATAATGAACTGTTGTGAGAAGAATAACAAGTGTTGCTAGAACGTTGTCGACAACAAGAAGATTTGCATTCAAACTACAAGCTGCTCTGATAGGAATCATCAATAGAATAAGTATAAATGAGGCTTTGTACGCGACTTTAGCAGGAAATTCTTTCTAAAGAGGACCATGATCATAAGGATTCGCTTTGGCATGAATGCCGCACCTCAGAACGAAAAAAGTTGTCAAGTGTCAAGCTGAAGTGGCACTGCCGCGCCGCAAAGGGTTGCTATGCGTGCTCGCACGTCTACCGTACGTGGAATTTCCAGTCGATCGTATATTTGCCGTAT